GGCATTTCCTTGTGATTTTGATTTGTTTTTCTTTATTAGGCAACTAGGGCTGTCATAATAGAATACCACAGAATGAGTGGATTAAACAACAGAAATTCTCAGTTCTGGAAGCTGAAAGTCCAAGATCAGGATGCCAATAAGTTGGTTTCTGGTGAGGCCTCTCTTTCCTGGCTTGCAGAAAGCCACAGTTCTTGGTGTGTTCTCACATGACCTTTCCTCTGTGTGTAGCCACTGGGGGAGAGAGAGAGCACCCTGGTGTTTTTTCCCTTTATTGTAAGGACACCAGTGCTACTGGATTAAGGCTTTATCCTTATGGCCTCATTTTAACCTGGATTACCTCCTAAAGGCCTTATCTCCAAATACAGTAATACTGGAGGTTAGTTCTTCAACATATGAATTTGGGGATGGGACACAATTCGTAACAGTTTATTTGTCACTAATGATGTCAAACATCTTTTCATATGTATCTTAGCCTTTGTCTATACTAATGATTCCAGAAATTTTAAAAAGTTATAGTTTTCAGCATAATTCATAGAAGAAAAATAAAATCATCTTAATTATTAGAAGTGATGCTCACTTGTTGAAAGTTTTTGTTGTGACGCCATATAAACAAATGGCATTACATAAAGTTTGACATAATTTAGATCAAGCATATCTCCCAGTCACTATATGTAAATGATTACAGCATATAGACTGGCCAAATAAGCTTATCTCTAAATACAAAACTTAGAAAAATTGTTGTAAAAGAATGGTAAAGTTGTTAGTCAATAAAAGTAAAATAATTTAGATTTCATGTTCTGTTGTCATTAAGGTTTGAATTCAGATAATACGTACATTAAAGTCTGTGAGCACAGGTAAAAGAAAACGTTTAAGGATTTGAGTTACTGAATCAAATAATATGATATCAGTGTTCTAAAACAAAGGAATAAAGTTCTAAGAATCCAAAAAACTCCCTCTGGATACAGTCCATATTCTCCTACTTCTTTCTAGAGTTTTCAAATACAGTTATTTGCTTTTCTGGTTAAAAAAGATAGATTAAAATGCCCTCACTAGAAGATACCACAACTAGCTAGCTTACTTTCCACCATGTGAGTCTGTTACAAGAATAGTCTATAACCCAAAGAGGTCACTCACAAGAATACAACTGTGTTGGCACCCTATTCTGAGACTTCCAGTCTCTAGAACTGAGAAAAATAAATATTTATTCTTTAAGCCACCTTAATTTGTTATAGTCTTCATGTTGTTTTATCTGTTGAATGTTTGTTTTGTCAGTAATTTCCCCTCTTGCATTTATGATATTGAGAATTTGTTACTTTATTTTTCTGCTTATCATTGAAAAAAAATATTTTTAAGTAACTAAGCTTTGGGTTGATTTTCTGTGCTGCTTTCTGTTTTCAGTTTTATTGTCTAGTCTTTCCTGTTTTTCTTCCATTACTTTCTTTAGATTAAATTGTTTCTTTTTGTCTAGTTTCTTAAAGTGGGAACTTAACTTTCTGGAGATCTCTCTTTTCAAATATAAAAATTTTAAACCACATATTTATGTCTGAGCACTGCTTTTGTTGCATTCACAAATTTCTGTATTTTTGTGTTATTTTCATACACCTCAAAATATCTTATTTGAACCTTCTTATTTGACCCATGGGTGAATTCGAAGAATATTATTTATAAATATTTTGTATTTCTCCAAGTAAAAAGGTGTTTATTAATTTCTAGTATAATTTATCTGTAGCTCAAGAACATCTTTTGTATGATTTCTGTTCTGTATTTGTGAAGATTTGTCTAACAGCCAAGAATGTATTGTATTTTGATGAATGTTCCATGTGCATTTGAGAAAATGTGAGTTTAGCTGTTGTAGAAAGCACTGTGTCCTTGAGTTTGAAGGTGTGGTTATCACAAGTGCTACTTTATCTCTTCTCCCTATAGTTGGGCCTACCAGGTATTCCTGTCTCTTCTCCTGTTTCTGTGCTGCTTTTCTTCCTCTAGCTGCTATGAGTGACTGCTAGTGCCCTAAAACAGCAGATTTGTTGTTCTTGCCCTTACAGATGAATATATTTGTTCCATAAATTAGATAAGAATATATTTCTTTTTTTTTTTTGAGTTGGAGTCTCAGTCATCCAGGCCACCCCAGTATTGACCTACTAGGCTCCAGCAATCCTTCCACCTCAGCCTTCCAAGTAGCCAAAAGTACAGGTGCTACAACTATCAACTAATTTTTTATTTATTGTAGAATGAGGTCTCGCCAAGTTGCCCAGTTTAGTCTCGAACCTGCGGGCTCAGGCAATCCACTTGCCTCGGTCTCCCAAAGTGCTGGGATTACAGGCTAAGCTACCAATCCTGGCCGATAAGAATATATTTCTAGGCAGAATTTTGGCAGCAGCTCCTGTTACATCTTCCAGCATATCCCGAAAGTGGAACTTTCTCAGGATCCTTTATGATATTTCCTATGAGTTCCTCATTTGGCTCATGGAGGGAAATATTACAAGAACACACAGGTAATCTGTATCCATTGCAGTGGAAGATTAGCTTCTTGATCAGGCTTCATGGAACCACAGAAGCATTCTGTTTTTGTTTTGCAAGACTATGTGGATGTTGTCAAACATGTTTTTAGTTCTGTTAAACTTCTTTTGGCTAAAAGAAATGCTTTTTTTTCTTGGAGCTCTTTTTGTTGCTGGTTCCAGATTGCAGGTTTCTTCAGCACTCTGTCTAGGATATATGGGAAGCAGAAAGCAAAGCTTTGGAATTCTCTGCTGTATCATTTCTTAAGTCCTGAGGTTCACATTTTTCTATTTTGTAGAGTCTTCGTATGTTTGTTCATGTTTTGGTTTTTTTTGTAAGGATTTTTAATTGTAAGAAGGAAGATCTGGGAGGAAAGGGACTACTCCATCTTGGATGAAAATAATACCTATTTTTTAAACATTATGCAAGAGGAACAAGAAAGAGTATCTGTCTGTGTGCATTTTTAGTCTTTGGAAACATGACCAGAAACAATAGAATAAAATACATAACAACACATGGGTACAAGTCCCTCTCCATGAAAAGTGTAAGATTCGTAATATGTTTTCAATTTTTTTCATTTTAGGATATTATAAAATTGATGACAACATACAAGAGATCCAGGAAAAACAAAAGAAGTCTCTGTGTCAAGTAATATTTATTGATGACAATGATAAAACATTGAGTAAAGAAGAACAGAAAGCACACTTCATTCGACATCAGAGGACCCATTCAGGGGAGAAACTTCAATGTGAAAAATGTGGAAAATCCTTTTGTACAAGTTCACACTCTATTCAGAATTCTGGAGCTTATGTGGGATTCAGACTTTATGAATGTAATGAATGTGAGCGATCTTTCACCTTCACTTCAGGTCTAAGTGCACATCAGAGAATTCACACAGGTAGGAAGCCCTATGAATGCAGTGACTGTGAGAAAACCTTTACCCATAATTCAGCCCTCAGAGTACATCAGAGGATTCAGACAGGGGAGAAACCTTATGAGTGTAATGAATATGAGAAAAATTTTACCCGCAATTCAGTGCTTAGAGCACATCAGAAAACTCACACAGGGGAGAAACCCTATGAATGTAATGAATGTGGGAAAACTTTCACTGAGAAGTCATATGTTTGTGCATGTCAGAGAGTTCACACAGGAGAGAAACCCTATGAATCAAATATATTTGGGAAAGCATTTGCCCTTAACTCATCCCTTAGAGTGCATCAGAGAATTCACACAGGTGTAAAATCCTATGAATGTGATGAATGTGGGAAAACTTTCTCCCGGAAGTCACACCTTAGTGCACATCAGAGGACTCACACAGGGGAGAAACCCTATGAATGTAATGAATGTGGGAAAACTTTCTCCCGGAAGTCACACCTTAGTGCACACCAGAGGACTCACACGGGGGAGAAACCCTATGAATGTAATGAATGTGGGAAAACATTTGCCTTTAACTCAAAACTTAGAGTGCATCAGAGAATTCACACAGGTGTGAAACCCTATGGATGTGATGAATGTGGGAAAACTTTCTCCCGGAAGTCAAACCTTAGTGGACACCAGAGGACTCACACGGGGGAGAAACCCTATGAATGTAATGAATGTGGGGAAACATTTGCCTTTAACTCAAAACTTAGAGTGCATCAGAGAATTCACACAGGTGTGAAACCCTATGGATGTGATGAATGTGGGAAAACTTTCTCCCGGAAGTCAAACCTTAGTGTACACCAGAGGACTCACACAGGGGAGAAACCCTATGAATGTAATGAATGTGGGAAAACTTTCTCACAGAAGTCAGAAGTTACGGCACACCAGAGGACTCACACAGGGGAGAAACCCTATGAATGTAATACATGTGGAAAAACATTTGCCCTTAACTCATACCTTAGAGTGCATCAGAGAATTCACACAGGTGTGAAACCCTATAGATGTAATGAATGTGGGAAAGTTTTCTCCCGGAAGTCACACCTTCGTGTACACCAGAGGACTCACACAGGGGACAAACCCTGTGAATGTAATGAATGTGGGAAAACTTTCTCCCGCAAGTCACAACTTAGTGAACACCAGAGGACTCACACAGGGCAGAAACCCTATGAATGTAATGAATGTGGGAAAACTTTATCCCAGAAGTCACAACTTATTCTACACCAGAGGACTCACACAGGGGAGAAACCCTATGAATGTAATGAATGTGGGAAAACTTTCTCATGGAAGTCAGAAGTTAGGACACACCAGAGGACTCACACAGGGGAGAAACCCTATGAATGTAATATATGTGGGAAAACATTTGCCCTTAACTCATACCTTAGAGTGCATCAGAGAATTCACACAGGTGTGAAACCCTATGGATGTGATGAATGTGGGAAAACTTTCTCCTGGAAGTCACAGCTTAGTGGACACCAGAGGACTCACACAGGGGAGAAACCCTATGAATGTAATGAATGTGGGAGAACTTTCTCTGCTAAGTCATATGCTAATGCACATCAGAGAGTTCACACGGAGAAACCCTATGAATGTAATATATGTGGGAAACCATTTGCCCGTAACTCATCCCTTAGAATGCATCAGAGAATTCACACAGGTGTGAAACCCTATGGATGTAATGAATGTGGGAAAACTTTCTCCCAAAAGTCATACCTCAATGCACACCAGAGGACTCACACAGGGGAAAAACCCTATGAGTGTAATGAATGTGGGAAAGGTTTTGCCCAACTCTCAAATCTCAGAGTACACCAGAGAATTCACACCGGGGAGAAACCCTATGAATGTGGTGAATGTGGGAAAATTTTTGTTTCTAAGGCAGCTCTTAGAGTACATCACATCAGAATGCATACCAGAGAGAAAACCCTAACCCATCATGAATTTGAGAAGTCCTGAATTAACTCATACCTTATTTTATACCACACAGCAGAGAAACTCTTGTCATGTATACTGGAAAATTGTTTTCCTTAACATTTTCCTTTTCCACTAGGCTCATATCTTGTTGAAAATCCCAATCTTATTCATCCAGGTGGGCTGACCAAAGAATATGATGCTAATGATATATATTACATTTAGTCCTGGCCCTTAAGCATCTTATAGTCTTCCTAGTCCATGGTAAGATGGGATTAAGATGATTTCCACAGCAAGTTGGCTTTTGTGTGTTGAATGTGGTGGAGCGCAGGGTCAAAGGAAGCTAGAGTCTGGATAACAGCTTGGAATATAATTCTCTGCTTCCAGATCTTCATCAGTTGTTTGTTTTCAAGCAAGAATTAAATTTGTTTTCCATTGAGCTCTCTGATTTGACCTATTAGTTAAATGCATTGTTTTGCTGTCTCTCTATTAGACTGGGATGAAATCCTATTAACATAATACATTTCAGAAGAACTATTAGAAATCAGTTTTATTGTATATCAGAGACTTCACATGAAGAAGAAAATTGCCAACATCCTGAATGATCAGAAGCCTTCACTAAAGTCAGAGACATTTCAGGGAAAACCACAAAAGCCTTCAAAACAAAATTAATTGCATTAAACATCAAATAAATAGGATACAATTTTATATTTTGAATAAATGATTTTTAACAAATATTGAATGCTTTTGGAAATTTCTTTCCTGAGGAAGTGTCAGTTTCAGAATTGAAGAAAATAAAATCTTCACCTACAAAAACATCTGTTTATGTAATATCAAAAAATTATAGAAAAAAGATAAGAAAATGCCTATAGACAAACTCACTTTAGAATGTGAAGTTTTTTTAAATAGAGGAATAGCTTAAATTCTGTGGATAACACCAATAAATATTTATGAAAAGTCACTGAGTGATGTGAAAGTCTGTATGAGTCTGTAAACATGACTTATTACTGGTGAACTTGAGGGGGAGCCAAACCTGCTCTTGGCATGTCTACTTTCTTTTCTGGGCAACTGTGCCCTCTGTTAGTTTCCTTCAACTTGCTGTTAGATTTTGACCCACCTGTTATGTCTGAATATGTCTTGCCCTGTTTTTGTAGGACCTTTGATATCCCTGAGATTTCCCAAGCATTCCTGTGTGTATGTGTGTGTGTGTGTGTGTACGCATGCGCGTGCGCACGCACAGGTGCACTGGAGGTAGTGGTGGTGGTATTGATTCTTGCATACTTTTGGGGAGGAAGGGTATAGAGGACATTAAGTTTATCCTGCTCTAGTGATTCATTTTGCACTGAATGTTTATAAAACAAGTCATCTCCTCAAGCCCTTGAATGCGTCCTGCCTCAGCATCTTGCCTAGGATCTTGTTTTCCAGTATCAAGAAACCTGCTCACACTGTGCTTTCCAAGTTAGTGGTGTTCCTACCAAGCTAAGACAGCAGGTTTTGGAGTTGGAATGAAAAGGGCTACTTCATGACAAGAGCACAGCACTCGTACTGGAAAGCAGACTCGCTTTTGGTAAAACAAAAGTTAGTACAGTCTTAGTCAAGAAAACACTTGATGAAGCTGCCAACAATTTAGACTACATGGTTTGCTCAGTACAGAGAAGAGAATAAACAGTCACGTTTAAAACCTGAATCACTAAAAATTTCAATCCTGAAATTGATCTGATAGGTTCAGCATGAGGACAATCCATCAGTTGAATCCCTAGAAAAATTTATCGAGTCCCTATCCCTTATATTGTATGAAGAGATAATGATAGGAAAAATTGTATCATTAGCATTAACTCGAAATTAGGTATCTCTTTGACACTAAGTTGTTATCAGTTAGTTTAGTGGCATCACTGCCAAAGACAAAAGCCAGAAGTAAGAGCCCATCGTTGGATGAGGGTTGTATCGTACCACCATGGCTGACACATTAGACTGGATCGTTGCTCTTAGCCAAAAGATGCCAGCAGCTATGGAATCTGTTTTCTCCTTCTTCATGACTGACAACTTGATGCAACTTGATCTTATTGCTCAGTGTTGAAAGGGAAGTGAGCTGAAAAGCAACTCTTTTGCATGCTTAATTTTCAGAAAAGTATCAATGAAAAGGAATTTAAACTGGAATACTCTTAAAATTTTTATTTTGGAATGGATTTACAGAAAAGTTACAATAATAGTTTCTTTGTACTCCTCTCCTAGTGTCCCCATTAACATTACTGTGGAACCTTCTTCATAACTAATATTCAAACTTTATTAACTAACCATGTTTTTTCAAATTCCACCAATTTTTCCCTAATGTTCTTTTATGGTCCTCTTCTTCCTATTGAGGCTTAGAAAATGATACCCAAAGTGACCTTCTTTATCGAGTTCCTTCTGTTCCTCATCCTCACTTTCTCCCAAAACAAACCATAGAAACAAGGATACCTCT